TAATTTACCCCACAACAAGCTACCGGTTGATCAACTGCTGTGTACCCATTCTTATTTTAACAGGTAAGGCCCACTGAACAATACAGCTCCTTTTTGAGAAGCTACCTTGGCCAGAAATCAGATCCTCATGCTGAAATGTATCGCAGCCAAATACTCTAAAATTGATGCTTCTAAATGTGGAGGGGAGGAATTGGAGGACCCGGAGATTGTCACGTTGGAGAGTAGGTAAACCATATTCTTAGGGGGGTTTTTTTTCGATAAAGTCACGTAGGTAAAAAATACAAATTAGTAAAAGTAAAATAAAAATCACGACGTTTCGGAGGCAACACAAGCTTCCGTCTTCAGGTGAAACAGTCACAGCACGATAGCTGTATCAAGTGAGAGAAATTCCAAGAAACCCGTATTTTTATATACTGTACTAGCTGTACTACCCGGCTTCGCCCAGGACTTGTATCCACCACGCCCGGCCGCCTTTGTCTCCCCAGTGGCGATGTTAATACGCCACACCAGTTACTCGTTTTGAGGCTGAGTCCCTCCCTCACCGCTCTCCCTCCTCACCGCTCTCCCTCCCTCACCGCTCTCCCTCCCTCACCGCTCTCCCTCCCTCACCGCTCTCCCTCCCTCACCAGTCTGTAGAGGATGTGTAACTTTGATGAATTTACCTCAGAGTCGCGTGGTGGGTGTCGAGGCCTAGCACGGTGCAGAGCCTCCGGCATCGCCTGATTTTCCCACCCGGCTGAGGCAGGGTACGTGTGCCGCTCCCCCCCCCCCCCCCCGCGCTACAATAATACTGTGTAATCGCTAGAATTTTATAATGTACCGACCCTGAAGAGGACGTGAAACTTTGATGAATTTACGTCAGAGTCGCGTGTTAATGCGTGCGCCTATTTTTAACGGGAATTAAAAATGTCGTCCACCCCGAGGCGAAGGCGTCGCTACGCGTTGCCAGGGGCAACCGCCGTCCAATGAAAGCGGCGAAGGCGTGGCCACCCGTTGCCAGGGGCAACCGCCGTCCAATTAAACTGCAGCCCGCGGCGAAGGCGTCGCTACCCGTTGCCAGGGGCAACCGGCGTCCAATGAAAGCGGCGAAGGCGTCGCTACCCGTTGCCAGGGGCAACCGCCGTCCAATGAAACAGCGTATGGTCCGGCGACACACAGACACACACACAGACAGACAGATTCACGATTTTATATATATAGATACTCGTTGAGGGTGGGAGGAGCCAAGGTAGGCCCTGCATTTGTTTTTAGTAGGTAGATCCACAACGTTCACCATTCGAGTGCTGAACTAGTAACGCATTGGCATGTTTTGCTTCCGTGAAAACCCTTACTAATTGGCTGTGTTGGGTGGTGGCGGGTTTAATGACGCATTCATATGTACGCAATCTCGCCCAAGCACCTCTACTGAGGATAATATTTGTCGTGAACGCCTACTACGTGTGAAGTTCTTTACGCATATTATGAACAAAAACATGTAAGGAAAGTGAAAAGGGTAGTACGGGGGGGGGGTGGGGGGCAGCACACGTCATTTACTTTAAAAATAATCATCTATCCTACACGGAAACAGGATCTACAATAGCTATATTTACACCTCCGCTCGAACGTGCGCTGCTGTGAGTTTGTAAACCTCATCGCGCCGCCTGTGGTCGGTTGCGTTCTGTCCGATTGTTGTTCGGGTGCATTTTTTAAGCAAACGCGTGGGTGGTGGTGGTGGATGGTTTGTGGTGGTGGTTGGTGGTGGTGGTTGGTGGTGGGGGTGGTGGTAGTTGGTGGTGGTGGATGATTGGTGGTGGTGGATGGTTGGTGGTGGTGGTGGTGGATGGTGGTGGTGGTGGTGGGTGGTGGTGGATGGTTGGTGGTGATGGTGGATGGTTGGTGGTGATGGTGGATGGTTTGTGGTGGTGGTGGTGGTTGTGGATGGTTTGTGGTGGTGGATGATTTGTGGTGGTGGATGGTTGGTGGTGGTGAATGGTTAGTGGTGGTGGTGGATGGTGGTGGTGGTTGGTGGTGGTGGTGGATGGTTTGTGGTGGTGGATGGTGGTGGATGGTTGTTGGTGGTGGTGGTGGTGGTGGTGGATGATTGGTTGTGGTGGATGGTGCATTTTCTTTGTGCTGTACGCCTTTTGGCGTCCTCTGGTCTAACACCGTTTGAGACGAGGCTCAAAAGAAAGCTGTCTCTGGTGTGGACCAATCAGTTTCAAGGACAATGCATATATTATCAGAGTATGTTTTTTTGTTTGCATTCTGACCACAAGTATTGTGGTTAATGCAGACATGATTCCTTGTAAAAGGTTTTAGTTTGGTCTTTTAACAACTTCTCACCTGTTTTGTTGCCAGAAAAAATGATAAAAACCTATTCTCAACTCCAATATTACATTTTGTGTCCCTGTTGTCCGATTGCATTTCACCAATACTGCTGAATCTAATAATTATTAGCACTGACTTGTCCTGTCGTCTTGACTGGATGTTACATTTTCTGCGAGTGTAATTACTACAACTGACGTTTCCTGTAATGTGGAACTCTTATTCGAATTCTCATCACTGACTTGTATTGTAGTGTGTCTGCATGCTGTCCGAATGTGTCGTTGCCAATATTATGATTTTCTTTCGACTGTTTCTATTGGATGTTGTATTACTTTTTTAGTTTTTAGATTTTTTTTTTTTTTTACGTACAGTACAGCGCTTTGTTATATTTCGATGTTAAAGGAACTTCATTAAATGAAGACCATTGTTGTTATTGCTACAGAGCTGCGCGTTTTAGCACAGTGTTTTCGCTCGTGATAATTTAGGCGGTATGGGTTTGCGGTGTTGAGGGTTGTGCCTTATCTTTGGCAGTAACAAAAGTTTCAGTTTTCAGTTGCATTTATTTGGCATACCCCGTGAGCCATTCGGCTCTTGAATCGGGTGCAACCGCAACAAACAAAAACATGAACAAGAAAACATCTTAAAGTGACTATGCGCAAACAGAAAAAATCCGGGGAAAAACTGCAAAGTCTTCCAGAAAAAAAACACCGTACACCAAAAGAATAATTGCACCACAGCTGCTTATTTATTATTATTAATTATTTAGTCTTACACGGAACCGACTGCCCTGTGTGACACACACGCAACAACAACCGCCATTCGCCACTAAGTGGCAGTGACGTCGCCACGGCGCTTGTGCCAGGCTAGGTGCACGTTGAGGCCACGTGAAGTGTCGAACGCCCGCTGGCAGGAGGTCACGGGACAGACCCAGCAGGTGCCATGGGTCGACTGACTTGAGATGACTGGCCGATGCACCACCTGTGCCCCCTACTGTGCCAACTTGCTGTGTTTTATCCACCCGGCGTTCCACTCGTTGTTGTGAGCGTCGCTCCTCTGCCCTCCGTTGTTTTTGGAGGACAACTGCCTCCAACTGCCCAGCAGCAGCAGCGTCCTTCACGAGCCTCCTCCACAGAGGCCTATCTTGACACCGCTGGTACCACTCATCAGCAAAGTCCACTCAGCTCCACGTCCTCCTGTACCACATCACTCCATCTCTTCTCTCGCCCGTGCCGCGCCCGTTTAGCCCCCTCTATCCGGCCGAACAAAAGTTGTTTTGGCATGCGGTGGCTAGGGCATGCAGGCCACATGACCCAGCCACACACACGCACACCCGTATTCTGTGTAAACAGCATGTGTGTGGCCTGGGTGTTTTTTTAGGGGCTGTGTGCATGTGGATTGCGTGGATGTGAGGAGGTGTGTGTGTGTGCATGTGTACAGGCAAGATGACCTTTGTAACCAAGCGAGGGCCCACTGAGAACAAAACGATGTCGAGGGAGACCTGTGTATTTAGCGACCGCGTTCCCACTCGTCCAGTTCTGACAGCTGCCCTCTTATTCCAATACAAGTTCTTTTGGCGAATTATTATGGCGGATAAAAGGACGTACGTGTCCTTTCAATAAACCTTGGTAAAACGAACAAAAAATGCCCGCATCGTTGATAACCAAACGGACTAAAACCGCGTGCAGGATGCAGTGAATGAGTAGAAATACTCGCTCAGGGGTTCCCATCCAGTTATTAATCGCGATGCCACCGTTTTGTAGAAACGAGGCAGCCGTGCATGTAGCACGGAGCGAGTGATGTTTTTTCCCTTTGGGGCCGTCCATAAATGGCGTCACGCGTTTTTGGACGATTTTTTACCCCCCCCCCCCCTCCTCGTCACACGGCGTCACAAAAAGTCAGACCCCCCCTCAAATATGACGTCACAAAGCTCTGCCCCCCTCCCCCCCAAAAAAAATATAAAACATGCTTCAAATCGCTTTAAACTATCGTCATTGTAGTGCGTATTTAATGTGGCGTTGCACTCTGATGTTGTAGGAGAAAACATTTATTAAAAAGTCTATTTAATTAAGTAGAACGTGTTGTCTATATTTAAAATTGCGCATTTTGATGTGACGTCACATTCCCCCCCCCCCCCCCCCCTCTTGTCACACATCGTCACAAATGTCTGACCCCCCCCCCCCTAGGTGCGTGACGTCATTTATGGCTTGCCCCTTTCCCCAGCCACTCTCAGGGTTCTCTCCGGATGTTTGAGTCACATGCCATGGTGAGAGACCAGTGCGTGAAACGTCGGCAGTTGTTGAATTTCCTTCTTCTTCTTCCATTGTGGCAGTGGTGTTGTTGACGTATGTGTGCTGAGATTGCTGTTGTTGTGATCTCAGATGTGCCGCTGTAGTTTGGCTAAATCTGAAATGTGAACGGTCTGGCGATATCAATACGATAGAGGCTTTTTTGGGTTAGATGGCGTAAATATATAAATGTTGTCGTGAAACCCGCCACCACCCGACACAACCGATGAGTAAGGTTTGTCACTTAAACAAAATATGCCAATTCGTTACTAGTTCAGCACACACCGGTTGTGTGTGAGAGAGTAAACCCACAAGATTCATAATTAAGAGTACGACGTTTCGCCAGTAATTACAACCAACATCATCAGGCAACAGGCAGAGTTGTTTATTGTCCAACACACCGGTGTGCTGTACTAGTACCGAATTGAAAAGTTTTGTTGACGTGACAACCCTTACTAATTGGCAGTGTCGGGTGGTGGCGTGCTTAACGACACATTTATATTCAAAAACCTCTATTAATATCATGGATTACACTGGTCAACAAAAAAAAACATTTTTTTCTGGCCTGGACTTTTGCAGCTGTTCTAGACTATTTTCAGGGTGCTGATTCCAAATCTGATCTCAGATTTGCTCTATCACATGTCACTTTTATGCTATCGGCATACCCCATTTTCATTGATTTTACCCGAAATAAACTCTGTCACTTATGATTGCAAGTTGTTGCGAGTCAGTGACTGCTTTAGTGTTAAAATATGGTGCTGTATTTTTAGGATAGTGTGTTTATAATATGATTTTATGTAGATATCCACATTTATTTAATATTTTTCTTCTGCAGTTTTTATTGAAAATGCAATATTTGATATCTCAAAAACCTGATATGATAGACAAAAACAGATGCCAGATTTGGAATCAGCACCCCAAAATTACCTTAAAACCGTTGGAATACCTTACGCTAGAAAAAGTGTGTTGACCAGTGTAATATTGGTCGCAAAAGCTTACGACGTGTGAAACCTCGTCCGGCGATACCTTGTGACTCACAAGATCTCGATTTCTCAGCCACGACTCACACAACAGTCGCACGCAATATCTGTACGGCCCCTGCTTCCCCCAACACCCGCTCGAAATGTTCTTTGATGATTTTGAACATCGTTAATGTTTCCATGTCTGTCCAGGGCGAACCGTGCGTCGTTGTAGATGCCTAGGTAGACCACAGCAGAATAAATGTCACAGGTTAATATTCCATGTATTTATGCTGTTGAACATGTCCACAAAGCAGGTGTCTAACTCTCCCACTTTTACACAGCGTGCAATGCACATTTCGGAAGATGCAACTTGATGCGTGATGTTTATGTGGAAGTGGTGAACGTCATTTTGATGACACCATTTGACCTGCTGTTACCAGGGTGATGAAACATGAAACAGCAGAGCACTGTAATCCCTTCACTCCCTTTGTTACAAACTATCTTATGTTTCTCAACTGTGCCATATAAAACATTTTAATCTGACCATTTCAGGAGACATGACGTTCTAGAATTCTCCTGAAGCTGCACACGATTAGGAGTAACAGAGTTGGAGCCTGTGAGTGAATGTAGAAACGCACTGTGTTCTGCAATATAACTCCTGAATATCAATGGCTGAAAGTTTTATTGACGATCACTTAAACGCTGTCTGCACGTTTATACCATCAGTGTCAATAAGCTTCCAAATTAACCTCGTGCACATTAAACGCTATTTTCACCGCACGTGCTTTCAAATCGCTAGTGAGATGAGCCGACGTCAATTAAATGTGGTGATATTAATGCATACATGTCAACCCCTTATCAGTGCCGTACCTTGTTACAGACCAATTCAGACCCTTTTAGTTACTCCGTGCCCCTTATAAATCTCAACGTTCATCCTACAAAGTCCGTGGATCTGTAAACTCAATTTCGCTGTACAAGAATACGGGGTAAACGGTGTGGGTTGAAAGCCATGTTCGTAAAGCGTGCCCCGCGCGAGAGACGCCTCGTGTTAATTGGGCCCGACTCTTGCTCGCCTTATCCTCCACGAGGCCTTACATGTGCCTCGCAACATGAATACATATTCAACATATCACGTTGCAATTCCATCTTGCTGACAACGCTCCCTTTTTAAGTTACAAGTCCCTGCAACGTGACAATAAATGATGACACAAAATTCATTCTCTTCCATCAAAAAAACTAAGCGTCATCATTCCATATAAATATTAACTGCCTTTCCATGCAAATATTGACCGTTGTATTTTCCATAATCATACGTACATATGAACTAACGTTGATATGTGATTACTAATTACTTGTAGCACCCGATTTGGTGAACTTACCTGATTTTGAATTGAAAATCAGTCTTGAGCAGACACCCGAGGTAGGGGCAGAGCATAGCTGACTACCTGTCTGTCAAGGGCAATCACACGCGGAGAGAAAACCACGCAGCCAATTTACCTTCATCACGCCGACAAGGAACGCGATTATATAGGCCCAGTTTGTCGTGAAACTAACGGACCCAGATTCATGATCACAAAAAGCTTCCAGCAGTGAAGAGGGGTAAACAGCGTTGTGTATGTGGCCTACCTTTTAGACGGCTATTTCAAATGGACGCGAACGTCCTGAAGGAAAACGTGTTTTTTTGACGAATCGTGAGTCGTAGCTGATGATTTACCTATGTATGTAAATGCTACGGATGTCGTTGATGATGCTACTGTTGATCTTGCCGCTGATGATGATATTCCCGCTAAGTAAATGTACGAATTGCCACTGTGTTTCTCGTTATAATTGATGGAATATACCAACGCACCGCAGACCAAGCCGGTGGCTTCGACCTCCTGTGTGTGTCAAGTTTTGGTGTTCCCGCTGTGGTCGCGTGGGTTTTTCCGCCCGGCTTCTCTGGCTTAAACCACCCCCAGCAGTTAAACATGTCATGAACAAAAACATGTTGTGTTCGGTGTGTTATCTTCTTGGTTCTTTCGGTAAAGTCACGTAGAAGGGAAATAATAAAATATTAAAAATAAAACATAACTATTTTTATTTTATTATGTTTTATTAATATTTTTTTATTTCCCTTCTACGTGACTTTACCGAAAGAACCAAGAAGATGAATCCCTGCAGTGTTAGTTAAGAGCTTGTCCTAATGCCAATGTCACTAGTTTCCTAAGTCGTCTTCGCTTAGTAAATAGAAATCTACTTTAAGTAAAATATACATATAATCGGACATTTGGAAACCTTTCGTGTGAAATGATTCCGTACGTAATGGCAACCCCTTTGTTTGCCATTTCGCGCATTACGGACGAATTCCACGCGTTTCAGTTTCGCTTGTTATGTCTAGCAATTCTGCAACTCGCTGTTATATTTTGACATGAAATAGCTCACCATAACTGTGGCTGCGCCCGTATGTTAGGATTGTTGCGCAATTCTTTTGCCGCAAATTCATGATGTTGGCTTTGAATTTCACACGAAACGCCTTCAAAATGCCACCGAACATCACACACCTTCTTGAGTGTAAGTTAGCGTCCGTTAAATGAAAGTAATATAGTAAATACCTTATTCGCTTTCATTTAATCTGTCATTACTTGTGCAGGCTTGGGTTTGCCAAACAACACGTGATAATTATATCATTTGCAGTCTGTGGTGCTGCTGACAGCAGGTGGAGGAGGGTCAAATTTCAACAAAAATGTTTGATGAACTCATACGACCACTAGTAATATATCTTGCAATAAGAACCGCTGATTGTTTATGTTTAAATCATGTGCACGTGAGCATGGAACAAAAAACATTGAGACCCTAATTTGTTTTTTTATCATTCTGCCACGGATTCATTTTATCCTGTTACAGCGCGCACTGCGCTACGAACCCGGCCACCCGAGTTCGATTCCCGCTCACGGTCCTGAGCCTCCCCTAGGTTGACTCGGCCTCAAATGAGTAGCTGGTGCAGTGGTGTGTAAACATCCCCACTGGGGAGACAAAGGCGGTCGGGCGTTGTGTTAGCCACCAGCCCCCCTCGTGTGCCGTGCCGGCCTTCACAGGTGCTGGATAACAGCACTTGCCCCAACAGCCTGTTAAGTCTATACGGGGGAGCTTTGTCTTTGTGTTCGCCCGGTAGCGTGCGGGAGCGGTCGCGTAACCGTTTGCGCGTTGCGCTATGAACCTGGGCATCCGAGTCCCACTCACGGCCAACACCAGTGACGATTATCTACATCGGTCCTGGGCCTCCCCTAGGTCGACTCAGCCTCAAATGAGTACCTCCTCGTGCAGTGGTGTATACACATCCATTTATAACACGTAGGCTTTCGCGTCATACTCAAATTTTAAAAATGCTGTTGATTCTCTCTTCAGCACACCGGTGGGCTAAAGAAGTCAATTAATTTGTCCTTTGAAAACGTGACACATTTTTTACTGTTTGGCCGTGTCGGGTGGTGGAGGGTTACGACACATTTATAAATAACGCGATCTGACCCAAAAACCTATATTATGTATAAACATCCCCACTGGGGAGACAAAGGCGGTCAGGCGTGGTGCTGGCCACCCACCCCCTCGTGTACTGTTCCGGCCTTCATAGGTGCTCGCTAACAGTACTTGCCCCAACAGTCTGTTAAGGTTTTGCGTGCGCGCGGCCGTGTAGAGGTCACGCGGGGTCAGGCGCCCCACAGCGATCCTCCTGGGGCAGCTGACCCGTCAGGAGAAGCAGCAGCAGCAGCAGCCGCCGCCGCCTGGTGCGGTGAGCGAGATCAGAAGAAATCCGGAGGAAGGGTGCGCCACCCCATCGACGCTCTCTCGGCTTCTTTGAGAGAAAAAAAATCCCTTTCCCTCGACACAATAGAGAGTCGCCGACAGAACGCCGTCGTTGCTTTTTGTACAAAAAAAAACGAGTCGACACGTTCGTTAAAAATAACACCGCGGCCTCAGTGAAACACAAATAGCATACAAGAGGTGCATTTTCGGGCCGTGGCCATGACATTTTGTGCTACGTTTGATTACATAAATGTTCCATTTTTGACAGGATATTCAGGGAACTTATTTAATATATGTTACGTAATGAATCGAACAAAAGAAACAAATATTATGCCATACAATGGCACTTCTTAATAGCCATTTGCTATGTCAATAACACTGCCGTCCAAGAGTTTATATTTTGAGTGAGTTTTAAGTAGAATTAAAGTTGCATATATGCAGGTGACATTTAAGGCAATGGCAATTTATTTATCTCTCTATCAAGAACAATTGTTGTTGCCTGAAACATCACATTATATATACATATTTTCCCACTTCGGGGGAGTGTTATTTAGAGAATTTGGCTGAATTTCGATTTCAAGCTTTCGTGACTGCAGGGATGCATATTCTTGGTTCTTTCGGTAAAGTCACGTAGAAGGGAAATAATAAAATAATAAAAATACAACAATAAAATATTTGGCTGCTCTAATTTTCCACATGATCAGCCACTTCATTGTTATCATTTGTGATGACCAGAGTCACTTGTGACCACTTATCACCTGGGAAGCTCAGTAGGGCCTTACGTAGTCAAATAAAAAATATATAGTTTAATTCAGTGGTTACATGGAAAATTACAAGACTTGCTGCCAGAGCTCCCGCAAATTTCTGGAGGCCTCGCTTTGGGGGGGGGGCGTAAATTTGGAAAACAACTGCCTGAGCCGTTTATCCAGCTGTTGCACTTGTTTTTTGCTACGAAAAATGACTTGTTAAAGGACTTTAAAAGACATAATCTTTGCGTCCGAACGTTTGACACAAAGCTCGCGTGGCATTGAGTAGGTTGATGGGCATCTGTCATCGTGTGATGTTGGCTGGGCCATGAAAAAGGGACAGTAATTTGGGCAACTGTCCTTTCTGGAGAGAAAATTGTATAGACAGTACCAGGTGCTCTTACTGATGGCCATTTAGATGCCGTGCAAAAATGAAATTCAATCATCTTGGGACGTTTATATAGCATTTACGCATTATACAAATTATCCTTTATTAAATTACCACCAATTCTTGGTGCATGATTATGGTCTACTTTAATTTCCGATTCATGTGCTTAAGATATACAGCCTCAGATCGAATCTTATCTCATTTTATATTTATAGAGCGCCTTAGCTTAAGGCGCTTAACATCGTTAGAAAGGCGGTAACAACACTCAAGTGATTTAGATGGCGGGGGGCGTGCAAGGGCCGAGGAGTGAGTGACGATAACAGAGGGCACGCGGGGTCACGAAAGGTTATAGGGGAGGGACGGGAAGGAGTGGAGGGAGGGGGACGATACTGTTTAGGGCAAAACAATTACTTGGCCACTAGGACCACGAACAATGTAGGACTACATACACAATGAAATTAACAAAGAAACGAAATTTGACAAATACTTAAACATGTATGATCAATTGTTAAACCGATCAATATGTAAATGCATGACCCCTGCCTGCGTTCACAACAGCATGTTCCCAATTTCATGAATAGTCAATTACGATTTCCCTGTCGATGTTATGCCACGGCTCTCTTTGAACAATGTTATTCAAATAAGAAGCTGTTCCCTCTGCAGTGAGCTGTTGCACAGCATGCCCTTTCATGGCAGGCGGCATAATAACATGTCAGCGACTGGGAAATATTCATTTGCTCTTCACTGTGTTTTTCATCCACACATGCCACTGTTAAGTCCCCCCACCTCCTCTTCCCTGGCAGGCAGCCGCAAGGTCACGACAAACACATGCGCATGTACACCCCGTGTTGTCAATCCACTGCTGGATGGGGGCCTCCCCGACACACACCTTGTACATTCTAAGCAACTCGTGTTGGTGATAGGGCTGCATTGGCAGCGGTGCACGAGAACGTGTAACAAAGAAAATCGAACATATTCGTCATTTGGCCAAAATTTTGCCTTGGCTTTTTGTTTATTTATATGATATAATAAATGTTTCCCCATACTTCACCAATCTGGTCAATGCACGTTGGTGACGGTGGAAGGTGGGGGGGATGGATGGATGGGGGGCCAACTTGTTATCGCCGCACTCCCCTCCACTGCCCACAACACGCACAACCCCCAGCCCTTTGGCGCACAGTGGTTACCCACACAAGCACTGTCCAGGCTCAAAATCCTGATTCGCTTCAGAGATCGGGAAGCATTCCGGGCGGTTCCGGTCACAGGCTACGAACACGCAGGCAACGCATGTTGAACTTCTTTCGCACCGTACGTAGCCAACCGTGCGAACCGGCAGTACGGGGAACGAAACTGGAGGATTTCTTGACAAATCTGGCTGCCGCCCGATGATGCCAGTTGCAATTACTGGCGAAACGTCGTACTCGGATTGTAAATGTTGTGGATTTGCTCTCCAAAACACTACCGGGTGTGCTGTACTAGTAACGTTAACGTGACAACCCTTAGTAGTTGGCTGTGTTGGGTGGTGGCGGGTTTAACGACACATTGATATTGACGCGATCTCACCCAAAACCCTGTACTATGGATGATATTGGTCGCGAAAGCCTACGTGTTAAACTAAACACAAAACTTTCGATTTAAAGCTTTCGTGACTGCAGGGATTCATCTTCTTGGTTCTTTCGGTAAAGTCACGTAGAAGGGAAATAATAAAATAATAAAAATAAAACATAATAAAATACAATACTCACGACGTTTCGGCCACAACGCTGTCTTTCCGACAGCCCTGTTCTTCACCTGAGGGCGGCTGCTTGCGTTGTGGCCGAAACGTCGTGAGAATTGTATTTTATTATGTAAAATATTTATTATTTTATTATTTCCCTTCTACGTGACTTTACCGAAAGAACCAAGAAGATAAACACAAAACGTAATGACATTAGCCGAGGTGAGTGTCGGGT